GAGAGTTTTTATCAAGGTAGGCGTGTTCACATCACGTCCGAAGGTCACCAATGTGGAGAGAGTAGTTACTGTTAGGAATTTTGCGAAGTGGGCGTTACTGCCACGGTAAGCGTATTCACATCACGTCCGGGTCACCAAGTGGGGTGAGTTATCGACAATGTCAACCGTCATCTATGAAAAGGTACCCCGACATAGAGTCGAGTTAACATGTCTTATATACTAGTGAATTGTAGTTGTAATTTTGTAATGGTAGATACACTACACTCAGTTCAATTCCTGATGTTGTCGAATTTACAAAATTTAAATTCATCGCAGTATTTAGACAATCGGACTCCGGTACGGTGGGATCAGAGTTTTATCCTGGATTCCGTTCTTGTAAAATGTGCTGTATCGATAGTCCTGTAATCGGTTCCTGTGGAGAACTACTGGTACAGGGATCTGGAGAAAATGTTCTTTCCTCTCAGAACTATATCTAAATTAAGGAAGTGGTCTCACAAATGAGATCCCATGTGATGTCATAACTCTAGACCATTTTCAGAATTTTCCCCAGATCGTCACCAATAGCCCATTGCGCAGCTCTAAAGCGACGTAAATAAAGTACCTACCTACTTCACAAATTTGATTATAGAACAAACTTTTTATTATTTATTTTCAAATATTGTAAAATGTGGAAGAGCCATCCCCTCTGCATAGCATCAAAATTGTGATGGCATGTCTTAGGATCATTCTCAGGGATGTTTCCCAAACAGTCACCAATAGCCATTGTGCAGCTCTAGGGCAACATAAATAAGCAACTACAATAAGGTAAATTTGTTTATTGGAATTACATACATTTGCAGGCTTGTGTGCTTAATTTAGGCTTATAGACCTTTGTCAAATAGAAGAACAGATAGCACAATACAGAGAAGACAGCACGAAGATACATCCATCAGGGTAACAGCGGGATTCGTGCCAGCTAACTCCATGCTTTGCACAGCATTTGGCGAGTGATACGGCTTAACCAGGGAGGCCCCTACAATATGGTAAAGAAAAGAAAATATTACTTTATTTAATTTTTTTTCAATTTATTTAAATGCGTTTAAAGTAAAAGTACTAAGTTTTAGAAAACCAATAAACTAATAAATTTTCTTGTGTGCATTTACTAATTTGTATCCAGTGTGAATGGTCTCTAAATACACAATATAAAACAGATATGGCACATAACGTAAAAGCACTGCCTTCATGAAATTAATATGACAGAAATATTTTTGTACCAACCATATATACGATCGTTCCCACCGAATGCAAGGGGAATCACCTTCCAAACGCTGTGCAGAGCGTGAAGGTAGCGGGTTCAAATCCCGCTGTTAGCCTGGATGTATCTTCGTACTTTCGTTCTCTATATTGTGCTATCTGTCTTTATATTGTGCTATCTTGACAAAGGTTTATAAGTCTAAATTAAGCACACAAGCCTTCAAATGCATGCGGTTGCTGGTCCCGCAACCGAATGCGGTACCGCAAAACCGAACAAAGCCTGCAAAACCGAACGTGAACTAGAACTTGATTGGACCTCGACTTTGAGCAGAGGTGCAGCAAACGCGTTCAGTAAGAATGCTATCTGATTGGTGAGTTTATCGCGTGAAAAACATTTGACCAATCATATTCCCAACAATGATCGCAGCTGCGGCTGTTGCATTGAGTGTGATTACTCCTTAAATTTGTTCGCCAGGTTTGTATTTGCATAAGGTTTGTATTTTTTTTTTTTTTTTGGCAACATTATCAATGTCTGTTATTTTATTTTCATTCAGAAGTCGGAAGAAAAAGTTTCGGTTTTCAACTATTATTTACCTAAGTGATGTGTTAAATAAATTTTGTTCCTACTTTTTTTAAAATGAAATGTTTTTGCTTCACTATATTTGTTTTGTTTTTTACTTTTAAAAATTTTTGTGAATCAGGTAAGAATATTTTATATACTACCGTATTTAAATGCCTACAAATTATCAAATGTAAATAAACTATGCTCACTCTATTATCAAATGTAAACAACAACTCTTGTTAAAAATTTGCAATAGATTAAATTTTCTATTTTTATCTTTTTTTATTGATTATATTTTAACATTTATTTAATAGATATTCATTTCAAACGTAAAATTTTATAAAATTATATTTCAAATTTATTAGAATCAACCAATCATATTTTTCTTAATTCACAATTTTCTTCTTAAAATTAACGAAAACAAAATCGTCCATTTTTTATCATAAAAGCAAAATCAATCCCGCAAAAAAGATAGCCTACAAAAAAAAAGGCTTTTTTGGCAGTGATAAAAACTGCTGTGTTTTTACTTTTCATGATAACTACTTTCATTGCTAATGTTTCTATAACAATGTTATAGTTCAGTTGTGACGGCAAAAAACCAATGTTTCACAAATATTAAATTTGTATAAACACAATATCATATCAAATTTATAAAGCAATTCTGCCTACGCCATCAGTCCAATCAAATGCAGAAGTAAAAATTATTATGATGCCTAATTATCCATTGTAAAAATGAAATAAAAAAAGATTATTACAATATCGACATAGGTAGCAGAAAAAATAATAATATTGAAATATTTTCTTCAATCAGCTAGGTTGCTATTTGGAAAGAAAAAAAACTGATCGGGAACAAAGTCCAAATGAAAAAAAATATATTGATTTACCTATTAATAGGTTGATTTTTGTTTTCAATTCAGGTTTGACAGAGGAAAAAGAAAAAAAATTTGTCTGTTGGCAAAATATCATCAGTAAACCGTAGATCGCCTTGCTAATTTTTATTTTTATAACCGTCATTGAACAGTTGACCAAATTTTATGAGTTTATGACTACTAATGTTCAACTCTGTAGCCTTGTAATTATGAACCCAATCCAGAAGGCAAGGGAACTCCTGGATCGAGTATTGGGAAAAATTTACCTTAATGGGGGCCGTTTTATGATGGAGCAAACCCGCATTTGCATTACATGGAGAAGAAGACCACAAGAACCTCCCACGGTCAGTTTGACAGCAAGGGGACTTTAACCCATGATCTGTGTACCACTGAGGATATTTTACGTCAGCACTGTGGTTAGTGCAAGCCGGATGCAAAATTCGTATCAACAGGAATTGGAAGGCGAACGCTCTATCCCCTGTGCCATCGCGGCTTCCTTGCTCATTTAAAAGAATTTATCAGAAATAAAAGCCGACTGAAAAAAAAATCAATAGGCTTATCTGGGGGCCGGGATAGCCTGGTCGGTAGGGTGCTGGGCCCATCTCCAAGAGGTCGTGGGTTCGATCCCCGCCGGCCGAAGACTCCCCGTGTAGTAAATGGTGACTGATGCACGTTAAATCTGTCGAGTCTCAAAGTCCTCCATGTTCCCATAACAAATCAAAACCTCTGGGGGTACTGATCCAGGAGTTTCCTTGTCTTCTGGATTGGTTCAAAATTACAAGGATACGGAGTTGAACATTAGTAGTCGTAAACCCATGAAATTGGGTCGGCTGTTCAACGACGATTATAATATAAAAATAAAAAATAGGCTTATCTGATTAAGCTATTTGTCTACATTTCTGGAGGGGCAAACCGCCTCTCCACTCACAATGCCCCTGTATTGTGTTTACTTATAAGCTGGTTGTATTTTAGCTAAATGTGCATTTTATTTAATTTTTTTTATTTAGAGTAGTAATTTACATAAGCTTTTAAATGGGCTTTATTTTATTCATTGATCTTTTACTTTTACAAACTAACTTGGGAATATTATTTTTGTTCCAATTCTTAATCATATAAAATCAAATTAAAGTTGAAAAACATTGCATTATTTTCAGAGTTTCTTTTTTCGGATATTTTAAACATTTGAATAGAATCCTTTAATTAACAAAATGAGGAAAAAAGAGGTTTTCAAATTTTTCCTGATTTATGCTTATGATATAATTTATAATTGTTTTTATCCTTATTTTTCAAAATATATTCTGACTAATATTGTTAAAAATCATTTTTGAATCTCCGTTTTAATTGTTTAATTTTTTTTAGAATTTTCAATGTTGCATAATATAGTAAAATTGCAAGAACTTATAAAAAAATAAGCTTTTTATTATTGTCTTATCTTTTTAGACTTCATGAATTATCATATTTATTATGATTACTTCTTTTTTAAATTATCATCAATGTTTTTTTGTTTTTTTTAATTCAATTTTTTTGCTCTATATTACCATGCTGATATTCCTTGTTAGTTAAGTTTAGAATTTAGTCTTGAATTACACATAACTGAATGGCAGAAAACATTGTTACAAATTTGACTATTTTACAAGGCATGTTTTTGTCTTAATTTTTGAAACATTAAAGAATTTTTTTTTAAAAAATTATATTTTTATAAAATGTTTATTAAATTATTTTCAATGTCTGTTTTTCTCTTCATTCTTTTGTCTTCCCTCTCATTATGTGTGAATTTCTTTTTATTCTTTTTTATGGTGTAATTAAATGATTCATAAAAAGTTTCTCGAAATATTGCATTCATTTATATTTTGTAATGATTAAAAATGCCATGGTATTGCCTAAAAAACAATATGTGGTGAATATGGGTTTGTATATTTGTAGGGAACCTTTAGAAATGTGCATTTCCATCAAAATGCTGATTAACTTAAAATGCCCATAAAGTATTAGGTACTTTTCCGGTAGCCAACGCAAGTGAAAAACCGCCAAATATATAATGTGGAATGCCGCCAAATTTCTTACAACCATAAGGGGAATGTTACTTCGGGGCGACATGCTCTATTCTCTGAATTCATTCTCTATTCTCAGGGACATTACCGTATTCTGAAGAGAGAGAAAACAATTATTATAAGTATTCTATTTGGGTTTTGTTTACAATTCATTAATATTTGCTTATAGTTGAAAATGTTCAGCTTTTATTCCGCTGATTGTTTTGTCACTCGCTTCGCTTGGCTAGTTGGCTCGCATTTGGTTCAAAATTGATGACATATGCGCCCAGCTAACGAAAAAGTACCAAGTATTTCATTACCGATGTCATTTAAATTATTTGATATGTTTTCTTTAGTGATTTGTTTTTTAAAATTAACCAAAATGCCTTTTGTTGTTTAATCGGTTAAGATAGAAACGTTTTTACTACACTTCTGCTTTGTCTCAGCATAATTTGACTTTATTAAATTTACCATTCTGAATTTTGTAATAGAATTTTTAAAAAAGCAAATGTTTTTTTTTAAAGCATGTATGTAAATTTAAAGATATGTATATTTCACTAATCTTAATTTGAAATTTTTTTTTTTTACTTATAGTTCAATATGAACCATTTTCTTTCAAGAGCTTGAGAAAACTATTATCAGACACCAAACATCCTATTGTGGCGAATCGCACCCATAATATTACTGTAAGTATCTTGGCTTTAATTTCATGCAGTATTTCTTTTAGTTCAATATGAACCATTTTTTATTTGTTGAAGAGCTTGAGAAATACATTATCCAACATGAAACATCCTATTGTGGCTAATCGCACCCTTAATATAATGTTAGTACCTTGATTTTAATTTCATGCAATATTTCTTTCAATTTAACAGAAAATAAAAAAAGATATAAAATTAGAGATAAAAAGGCAACCAAATACTGAGTTTATGACTATCAATGTTGAAATCCCTAGCCTTGAAATTTTGTACCCAAACCAAAAAAGAAAGGAACTCTTGGATCAAGTATTGGGACAAACTAGCTTTCATTGAATACCTCTCGGTGGAACTTTACATTATATGGAGAGGAAAACCACAAAAACCTGCCACGGTCAGCTCAAGGGCACTCAAACCCATAATCCGTCTACCACTGAGGATATTTTATGACGGTGCTAGAACGGAGCATTATTCTCATCAACTAGCTACCAATGATATCCAAACTTAGGACACCTCTTTGAATGGCGAAAGCTTTATCCCATGAGCCACAGTGGCTCGGTTATTGGTTAATTTATTTTATAATTGTCGTTGAACAGCCGACCCAATTATTTGGGTTTATAACTACTAATGTTCAATTCTGCAGTCATATAATTTTGAACACAAGGGAACTCCTGGATCAAGTATTTGGAGAAATTTACCTTTATGTATGACAATTTGATTGAACTAATCCACATTTGCGTTACATGGAGAGGAAAATCTCCCATGGTTAGCCTCATAGCAAGGGGATTCTAACCCATTATCCATCTACCACTGAGGATATTTTATGACGGCACTGTAATCAGAACGAGAAGGGAGCATTATTCTCATCAACTAGCCTCCAATGGTATTCGAACTTGGGTCACCTTTCCGGATGGCAAAAGCTTATACGGTCTTTGAACAGCCGATCCAATTTTTTGAGCTTATAACTACTAATGTTCAATTCCATAGCATTATAATTTGAACACAATCCAGAAGGCTAGGGAACTCCTGGATCAAGTATCTAGAGAAATTTGCCTTCGTGGAGGACATTTTAATGGGGCTAATTTGCATTACATGGAGAGGAAAACCTCCCACGGTGAGCCTCACGGCAAGGGGACCAAATTTTGCCAAGTTTTTTTTACAATCCAATTCAGTGACATCTACATTTTATAAATAACGTTATTTCAGTTAATTCTCTTGGGTTAATTTTAATTTTTGCTAAACCAAATGTAAGACAAACATTTATTCAGTTAATATTAATTCTAAACTAATTATTAGTTTCAATAAAATGTTTAGTTATTGATAACACATAACCGATTTTCCTGTAGGTTTTCTATATTCTGATAATTTATCTGTGTTAAATTTTCATTCAAATTTTTTCACCTTAAAATTTTTCAAAATCCTAGTGAAATTGTTTTAATGCTGTTTTTGTACAGCAATTTTTATCATTGTTTTACTGTCAACTTTTATTATTATTTTATATTTTTTGTGACTTAAACATTTTAATAAAAGAAGATTTCCAATTATTTTCATAAATATAACATTTTCTTTTTATGTTTAGTTGATGAGGCTATCATCTTTGACGAGGCTATACATTGAGACTCTAGAATACTTGAAGAATTCCTATTTACTATGTATTTGAAATTGAAAATTATTATTTAACTGGAGAAAAAAATTATTGATGAAGTCTTTAAACATTAGTTTATTTGAACGATTTAACTTCTAATTATTTGCATTTTTCTTTGAATTTTATTTTGCAATTAGGCTTGTTTATACTAACTTTTATTTACAATGGGTTTATTTATGGTGATTATGAATAATATTAAATTTATATTTACAACAAATAATTTATTATGAGAATTCCTGTGCCTCAGTTTGGTTTATTGCAGAGATTCCCACCTGCCCCCAATTGTTTTCTAGTAATAGCGAATATATCTTTTAATTTGTGATTTTTGTTTCAGTACATCAATTTATAAGGTTTTTACGCACCACTAATCCTAAATGTATGTAGGGCAATAAAACTTACGTAAAACGCCACTTTGTTATAGTTATTTTGTGTTGACTCTAGTAAAAGATTTAACAGAAAATCTGCACATTTTTATTTGTAATTTTCTACCATTTCTTTTCTATGTTACAGTTGTTCTATGTTAAGGTTATTTCGTGCTGAGTTTAGTAAAAGAGTTTAAAATTTTCATTTTTAATTTTCTGCTATTTCTTAAAATTCTTAAAATACTTTGCAGAATCTGGAGCAGTTAGGGTCTCTGGCAATAAAGTATCCTATAATACAGTGTTTCCCAAACTTATGACCTTTGCGTACCCTTTCTAAATTTTTTGTAACGCTGTGTACCACTAATAAAAAAATGAATGGATTTTTAACTGTAAAAAAATTGCACTAAAGTTGAAAATCACAACTGGCTGTTGATACCACTCATTATTAACTGTTAACTCTGTAAAAAAATAGCCAATAGAAAAATACGTAATCATAAATTTTCATGCCTAGCTTTGTTTTTAAATAATTGTTTTTGAAATTTTCGTTTGTTGCAAGATATTTCGCATAGGAATGCGTACCCCCGCTAAACTGTTCCCGTACCCCTGGGGGTACGCGTACCACACTTTGGGAAACACTGCTATAATGTAAATATATGCTTCTAAAACATATATTAGTTAAGCAATTTTATTGAGAAAAAAAAATTATTAATAATTTAAAAAGATTTTTATTTAATTATTATTATTTAAGAAGATTACTAATAAAGTTGGAAACTATTTACAGAAAGAACTTAAACTAATAGGCAACTCCTTAAAAGACGATGAATCGACGGTAATGTATTGTGTTCTTAAATTTTTTTTTTTTTTCATCTTTGTCTTAATATTTTTTTTTTGAGCAACTAACAATTATATTCTCTATAATAGGCAGGCACTGAAGCTGCAGTTCTATTCATTGTAGCCATTGTTGTTCTCTCTGTGATTGGTATGGTCATTTACTTTCTAAGAAAATTTGATCAGCTGAACAAGAGGTAATTTTTATTGTGCAACTTGTTTTCATAATTTTGAAATTGTCACAATTTCGAGTTTTTATTGCAGGATTCCTTTTTTTTGTTTGTCAGATTCTCTTATAAAATAAAATTACTATGAACCCTCTGATTTCTTATCAAACCTATTATTTGTAAAAGGTGTCCCAGAATTAACGAGAGATTTGAATTTGCCACCATCTTTGCGGTAAATTGTTGGCAACCCTGATAAAAGAACAATTTGACAGCTGAGAGTTTAGGGTTAGTAAAAATGGAGCGTTCAAGACGGTGCCACAGGCCATACAGCCAGTGAAACAATTCAATTACTACATGAGACATTTTCTGGTGGTGTGTTCTTTGTTTCGGTGATCAGAATTGGCTCCTTAGATTGTATGATTTAACACCATTAGATTTATTCTTATGGGGTTATTTGAAGTCAAAGGTCTATGTTAACAAGCCCACAACCACCCGTGCATTACAAGAGGAAATTAAACTTTGCATCAATGAAATTCAGCAGCAATTATGCAGAAAGGTCATGAAAAATTTCGACAAAAGTGTGTGTATGTGCCAACCAGAGTTGGCCGTTGATTACAGTAATCGATTACAACTGTAATTGATTACAGATAATTACAGCTATGTAATCAATTACTTGTAATCACGATTACAAGTAATCAATTACTTGTAATCGTGATTACAACTTTCAAAAAATTTTGATTACAGCTGTAATCATGATTACAATTTTGATTACAGTA